AGTAAGAATTTCAAAGAATGAAGGGTGTGATCATATGACATGTAAAGTTCTTGAATGCAAACATGAATTCTGTTGGTTGTAAGTATAGTAATAATAATTGGAGTTTTATTTAATGATTGATCTATTGTTGATTTAATTAATAATAATAATTTATTATTAGATGTCTTGCAGATTATGATGATATTCTCGCTAATGGAAATCATTATCATGAAACATGGTGCAATCATTATAGAGCAATTGAAGAATGTGGAGAATATGACGGATATGAAGAATATGAGGAATATGAGGAATATGAAGGATATGAATGATATGAAGAAGGTGAAAAATTTTAAGAACGAAAAAGGTGAAAGAAGGTGGAGGTTGTTAAATTTATTTTTTTGGTGTCAAACGAGCCTCAATATTTTATAATTTAAATTTTGCGTATTCATTTTATTCGAATTATTCGTTTATTTGAATTATTGAAGTCTTGAAAAATTGTGCTTGGAATATTTGTTTACAAAGAAGTGCGCCATCTTTCAAGATTTTAAAAATAGAAAGATAAAAGTTAATCAACCATGTATTTATTAATAATTTTTTTATTAATTTAATTAATTTAATTATATTAATAAAATAATAATAATATAAAATAAAGAAAAATATATAATCTTAAAAAATTATATTATTACTATTTTAAAAATGCACATTTATAAATAATTACAAAAAAATATAAAATAAGATAATTTTCTTTTATATTAAGTATTATTATCATCATTTTTATCGGTAATATCTTTTTGATTCCTATATGCGTTTTTAAGTAAACAAGTAAATTAATAATCAAATAAACAAGTAAATGGGTAATAGAATTCACTCGATAAAATATAACATACGATTCAGATGGTTCTTGATTATTTCTCATCATATTATTTGCCCTAATAAATAAATAAAAAAACCAATAAATTTCTATGATGATGATGATGATAATGATAAAATGATAAAATATTAATTTACATTTCAGCAACATTAGGATTACTTAAAATATCATTCAATGCTCCTGATTGCATCATTTGTTGTGCTGCGTTCATAAAGGCTGGGTTACTCATTAACGAAGCAAAATCAAAACCGCCGCCGCCGCCAGCGCCACCACCGCCGCCACCACCACCACCTACACCAAGATTGGCTGCTAGTTCTGCCAATCCACCCAAACCTCCCAAACCTCCCAAACCACCTGCATTGGGTAAACTGGAGTTACTGTTTGGTTTTGTTCCTCTTGAACCGGTTTGATCATTAATCTCATTCGATTTTTGTTGAGCTGTTGCAAGGCCCGATTTCATTGTAGCATTTCTGGGATCAAGAGAAAGTCCTTTCTCATATGCCTCGATTGCATCATCAAATTTTCCTACAGCCAAATAAGCATGACTAAAACAAATAAAGGATTATTATAATGATAATAACTTTTTCGCAAAATCTAACTATATGCAAACATAGGCGTGATTATTTATTTATTTGTTACCCAAGTCTACTATATGCCTTACTGTAAGAAGGATCTATTTGTGTTGATCTCAAAGCATCATCAATGGCTTTATTATGTTTCCCCAATTGAGCATAAGCAGCAGCTCTGTTTATTATCATATGAAATCAATATGTATTAGTAAATCAATGCATGTAAATATTATAAAGTCGTATTATTTATATATTTTACCTATTAGAATAATATACTGCATTGTTTCCATTGATATCAATTGCCTGTTGATACAATTTAACAGCAGCCTCATAATCTTTCTCTGCCACTTTACGATTACCTTTAATTCATAATCATTAATATTATTAGTAATTAAATTTCTTAATCTTGGCAACAACAAAAAAATCAAATTTTTCTTTTTTGTTTTTGTGATTAATTACCTTCTGCTTTTAATTCTTCAGCTTTTTTTCTTTGTTCCTCGGTCAATTCCACCTATAATCACATAAAATTAGTTGTCATGTATAATAGTTTCATTGATAGAATAATAGTGATGATAATAGTATAGCTGACTATACCTTAACTTCTATAATTAGATAGTCAGACAAACATAAAAAAAAGCTGTTGTTATTTAATTATTAACGTTATTAATAAATCAGTTGGGTCATTATTAGAAGTAATGGTTTTCATACCAGATTTAGAAGGTGGTTTGATGTTCTAAAGATAAAAATTGATAACAAGTATGTTAATATTTACTATTTATTAATTAATTTGTTATTTATTAAATACTTTAAAAACTTTTTTTTTTTTAATATTTTATATACTTGTTTAGAAGACCTTCGCTCTTGTGCTTTAACAGCAACTTCGAAAATAGACAATAATGGAGGTATTGTTGAATAAATTGCTTTATCTTCCGGATCATCTAACTTAACTCCGAAAGCCTCTCCAATGCATTGAACTGTTATTAAAAAAAATTTTAAATTTCATTACATTCAAAAAAAAAAATTTATAATTTATTTATTCATCAACTTTTTAAAAACCTGCAACTTCGACGCTTTCTGTATCCTCTTCTTTAATAGTGTGGTCATTGATGCATTGTTGCAAAAATTGTAAAATAGAAAATACTAATCGTTTTTTTATATCTGACATTATTTCATCAATTTTTATTTATTAAAAACTTTAAAATATAAAAATTGAGATTTTTGATTTGATTTTCATATGCAGACTGCGACAAAGTGAACAATAATAATAATAATAATAAAGATTTCGGGGTTCAACTTGCCAAGTTCCACAATCGTATTACCAATATAACACGACGTGTAAAATCGTCTCGGATCTACTCTTCTATTATTTTTCGCAAGTCCCTCACTTTAAGAGGGTTTTTATTCTTCCCTTGTATTAAATATTATCCCTCAAAGAATATAATTACCGTCGGTCATATTGCTTTGCATTTCGCTACAATATTTGCTGGTAAAAATAGGGAGCTTCATTATTTCCTGATCCCATTCAGGTTAATAAATACAACGAACTTTGAATAAAGTTTATCTTTTCCATCTCATCCTGCCAAATATATTATTCAAAGGTTTTATTAATTAACGTGTATAAATTGAATAACACTATTGGATTCAGGGTATAATTAGCGTCTAAAATTTTAGCTCAAATTACGTGCGGTGCTAGCACATTGCTATCGGATTAAGGTGCGCTGACTGCACGTTATTAGCAAACTAATGTGCGGTCAGTAATCTTACATATAAAACAATTATATAAATGAGCTATTGTAGCAGTTTTATTATCATCAATATACTGTATATATGCCCGTTCAAGTGTTTGCTTTCGATATGATTGTGTACCGTTGTAAAAATATTTTTCTTTTTTGCATCTTTACTCCAGCCGCAAAACATTGTCACCACCTTTCCACTACTATCTCCACTTTCTTCAAACCAAAAGTAAATTTGTAACCAACTTGGACCAAAAAATCTTCACGTTCTTGTCCGATTTTTTCCTTATTTTTTCGCTTTTGTGTACTAGCTGCTACCTGTTTGGGCCCTTCATTATTTTTTTCTTTATTTTCAGAGTTTGCTTTTACGAATAGCAAATTTACTTGACCATTATTTAACACTTTTTCAAAAGCTTTAATGTGAATGGAGCGAATAAAAAGATACCTTATATAAATTTGAAAATTGATTGAAAAAGTTCACTTGGATTGAGAAAAAATTATGACTGAATCCGAGCATAATAATTTATATAATTTTTAGAGATGGAGCAAATCCAACAAATCATTTATTATCTTGATAAAGAATCTTGTAATAATTACCTAGAAGACATGGCAAATCTTTATTCTGTGTTTTGATTACAAAAAAAAAATACTTCTAGTATATTTGTCAACGAATGCCTGGCCCCTTCGTCTTGGGCTCTTCATCGATTGCTTTTTACAAAAATTCACGTCCCAAAAATAGGGTCTTATTTGTACAACACTAACACGTATAAATATAATTTTTTTTTACGCGCGTTTATCGATTAAAAAAATGTTGTTATGAGAGGAAAAATATGAGTAAGTATTGTCAGAGCATGGCTATCATTTGAGTAATTTATTTATAACTGTTTTTATTTAAATACCAGAATAATAAACGAGCAAAAGAAAAGAAACTCGCGGTACAAGAATTCCTTGTCATGCGTGATAATAAACAAACGATGGGCATATTCGTTTTGCTGATAGTACCAAATACTGATCCATTGCTTATTGAAAGAAGATAAGGATTCATTAACTGGAGGTGATTCCCAACATTGGCCAAATAGCTAAAGACTATTTATCTGTTCAAGCAACTTTGGCTGGACATGCCATCCGAAAAACTGGAACAGAACTTCAACCAGAACCATCAGAGCTTGCTTATGCCTAAAAAGTTGGATCAATAATGATTTGAGTTTGGGTGATAACAAAGATGTCGGAAAAAAAAAATTAATATTATTAATGGTTTAGCAGTAGAGAAAGATGATGATATTAGTAGTTTGGACTATTTAGATGAGTAAATATGTATGTTTATATTTAGAATTTTATTATTCATTACATATGTAATCTTGAATTTTTTTATTGAATAAATAAATAAATATATTGAATTTTAAAAGTCTGGATTGAACTATTTGACAGTCTTAGGACAATGGTTCTAGAAGTATAGCACAAACAATCCAGACCGAGCTTTAACATCACTGATTTTTAATGCTTATATCTCTGGGTATTCCCTATACCTAATGCTAAAATAACAGTAATAGAGAGAGTTAGTTGTCTTAATCAATCAGGATCCTCTTCTAATAACATGCCTTCGAAAGTGTATACTGTACGTGAAGTACAATCTATGGCTTGATGTCTTTCAACTATCCAGTCCCAAAATATAAGATATATATATATCTTGATGTTGATGTGATATATCCCTTATGTTTTGATATCACTAATATAGTGTTTGTGCTCCTTGTATTTCCTTGTACTAAAATCTTCTACTGAAATAACAGTGTTAATTTATCACAATCCCTCCTTAAGTGTTCTTTCCTTTTCACAATAGAAATAGGAATTCTATTTCTTCTTAGCTATTCCTTGAATTTCATAATCTCTTTTAATTAACTCTGCATGAGTTGATTCCTCTTAAAATATATATAAAATATTACAAAATAGTGAAATTTTAAACCATTATAGCTTTTGATATAAGGTTTAAAATAAAAAATCTGGTTGCAACTAATCATTTCTTGACTTCTAAATAATTGTTTTTTTGGATTGAAGAGCAGATACCATTTTGGTAAGCCAATAATAGTTGCTATCATCCATCCACTGTATGTATTTTGCAATAAAGTTGTATCAATAGTACAAATTGAAATTCTCAGGTTTATTTTTTGAATAATAAAGTATATTTATTAGGCACATTTTGATGGGGAAAAAGAAGTTAAAACTATAATAAATGATAAGCTTTATTAATCCACATTACCCACTTCTGGTTGGTGGTAGCAATACAAATGGAAGTTGCTGGTGTCAATGATGGTATAAGCAGAGTCTGTGATTCATCACCTGCATCATCCTCATCCTCATCCTCATCCTCATCCTGATAATGCAAAATAAACTTATTGTTAACAATAACTATGCCAAAACTGATCTTGCCTTTTCTAATTTCCTTGTTTCAAAATAATGATTTCCAGATTTGAAAAGTTGAATTACATGCAACTCAAACATAACCTCTCTCTAGCTTTATAAATTGAGTAAAATGTTCTGGGTTTATTTTTTAGCCAATTCCACTAAATTCGACCCCCATCTAGGTCAGATAGAAGGCATACACACACTATTACTTTCAGTATTTAATCTATATATATATATATTCCCCTATCAAAAATATTCATTACAGAAAACCTCCACATAATAACTATACATAAGATTTATGAAGCCTAGGTTTTGATAAAAAAATTAAACTCTAAAGTTGACCGTCGATCCTCTCCTATTAGTTTATGATATGTTTCATATGGAATATTTGACTACATCAGGAAAATAAATCTCACGTAAACCTACGCAGGATTTAAAACTGACCAGCATTATGCGGAAATGTTAACAGAATTACCAAAATATCGACATGATGCTGGCCAATTCTGAACCCTGTGTAGGTTTACGTAAGATTTATTTTCCTGATGTGCTCTTCTTTTAAAGCATTTTCCAGCTCATCTGCATTTTTGGATACTGTACACTGTCCTTCACTTCATAGACATTCAATTGAGTCCAGATCTGTAGATTGTGAAAGCCCATTATGTAGAATTATAATATTTTTCCTTGCGATCCAAATTTGTACCTCTACCATTAATTTTCTCTAATATATTGCAACAAAAATTTGCAATAATTCATCTCGCCTTCAACTTTAACTGATGACTCCAAACCGCTATTCTACCATCACTACACTTGACTGACGATCTAATATTTTCAATAACATTTACCAACGATACACCAAACACGGTGGGGACCATCACTCAATACTACTTTTCCCCGTGGAACAACACTTCGATTTTTCCTTTGTCTAAAATTCAAATTCAAAATTATGTGCGGTTGCTATCATATTAAAGTGCGCTGACCGCACATGATTAGCAAACTAATGTGCGTTCAACAGTTTTACATATAATTTATATAAATAATAAAATAACAAATTATAAAACAATGTAAATTTATAAACTTTGACTATCAATATCTATATGCCGTTCAAATGTTCACTTTCAGTATGATTGCGAAATGCTCGCTTCGAGCATGGTAAGGTGTGTACCGTCCGACCTCAACTTTTTATTTGGGTGTGCGTTTGCACACATGAAAACCATAAATTTTTGTGGTTTTCTCTCGATTTTTTTTTTCCGAGTGAACTTTCAATTTTCTTTATTCACTCCATTCACATTAAAGCTTTTGAAAAAGTATTTTTCGATAATGAATAAATTATAATTTTGTTATTTGCAAAAGTAAATAAAGAAAAAAGTAATGAAGGATCTAAACAGGTAGCGGCTAGTACACAAAAGCGAGAAACAATCGGACAAGAACGTGATGATCTAAATTGGTTACGAGTTTACCCTGTAAAAATGCAAAATATTTTTACAACGGTGGTACACAGTAATACCAAAAGCAAACAGGTAGGTATGTATATAGATATTTTAATAAATAAAATATAAACAAAATTTACCTTTATTATTTACTTACTCTATTTAATATTATAACAAACGATCGCTTTTTTGCGTTTTTACTCCAGCAAAATTTTCGCACATTTTTTTTATCTTGTCCTTATTTTTTTTCGCTTTTATGTACTAGCTGCATCTTATTTCGGAGTTTTGCGAATAATAAATTTGAAAAAATTATAAATTGATCTAACTGAATCCGCGCACTAAGCCACAAATCTTGTGTAATAAAAAGTTGAGGTCACATATCTAAAATTATATATATCATGGGCAAATAAATTTATTATGCACATTTTCTACAGAAAATCTTAAGTTCGTGCAAAGTGAAAAACCTCAATACCGCTATAGTCAGATTCATTCAAAATTTTTGTCTTATCAGTCAGTTCTTGATAGGATTTTCAGTTGTTTGGAAACATTTCCAACACTTTTACCACCTTCGTGAAGACCTAAAAACTAGAGGTTGGAGCCGGTCAAAAACCTTCGAATCGGTTAGAAGCTGGCTAACCAAGGCCTTAGTCGGTTAATCAACAGGTTAAGTATATTAAAAAAATTATTTTAGAAAATATTTATTTAATATTAAGCGGAGATTAATAAAAAATCACACAACTATGTAATTATGTCGTTATTTGATAAAGATTTCTATTAATAACGAACAATTCTTATGCCTGCTCATTATGAATCAAGTGTTATATTATCTTTCAATGAACTATAATAATAATAGAGCTAATAACGCTAAAGCAAATACATGATAATTATGATGTCAATAAATTATAATTACAAAAGATTTCAATAGGTATTAAATCATTTAGTTCGTGTGTTTTTCACTTTTTACACAACATTCCCTTTCACTAGCCGATAATGTGAATGTGGTTTCAATCCCATTGAATGATTTACAATTAAGTGAGATGTTTCGTCATTTTAACTATATATGATTCTGGCTAAAATGCATGTCGATCCTTTCCATTTATCACAAATTGCGAATTGAGAGTTTTTTAACCAGTTTAATGGATTACTTTAACCTATTTTTATCAGGCATACGGATACTTTTTAATAGATGTGATGTGATGTATATATTAATATTAATAACAGAAATAAGGAAAAATTTTGAATTCGTATTTTTTTTGTTTCGACATAATGAAATAGTGCGTTCCTAACAATAATTCCATACCACATATAATCACCTACAAATTCCACCATCACAACGATATCAACGATTTCTTCTTCTAAATACTGTTTTTTGATGCTGCGATCAAGTTTTGTAATATTTAAACTTGAGATAACAAGGCTGTATTAAGTTTTTATATTAGTGGGCTTATTATGGTGTAAATTTATTTTAAATATTTATTATTAAATATTAAATATTAAATAAGATTATGCAATGAAAAAAAATATTAATATTAATATGAAACGAGTGCAAAATAATACGTTAATTATGTTAAACCATTTAAAAAAAAAATAATACTAACCTCTTACATTGAACCTATACTAAGTACAAGTCCTACATAGACAGCCTACAATAAGGTGTCTCGGGTGTAAGCCCCAACGTCGTGAACGACTCTTGTTGTTTTTCTGTAATATACTTCAAAAGTATATTTTGAGCTCCGTTTACATCTCTATTAATGGTGGATTTGCAAGATGTACAATTAAAGATCTTTGAACCGCCCAAATTTGACTTGATGACTACATGTTTTGCTGGTGTATTCCTCAGTGCAGATGATGACCTTGAACCAAGGGTACTCGCAGGATTTGTGGAGCAAACGTTGGCGAAAACGGTAATGTGACCAGGTCAGCATTTGTCTTGTTGTTTTAGAGTGGATTTTTCTAGAACCGCATTTTTCAACCATATCTTGTGTTTTAAACTCAGGGAGCAAAACTATATGGTGGTTTTCACACAACCATCTTGCTAATCTTTTATGACATTCATCCACAAGATTACGGATTTTCTTGTGGATCCGGAGCATGCACCGACGGAGCTTATATCTTTTACGTTTATTTGTTTTGCCATGAATAGAATCCCTTTCACCTTGGATTCTATCATAATGCAAACACAAGCGATGTATTCTACTAATATCCCCTTTTCCCCATTCTATAACCTCACCGCTTGGGTTATAACCAGTCATGAAGGTTCTCACTCCTGGATCAAGAGAAATGATGCCGGCGCCTTTATTCTCTTCAACCACCGAAAATTTAGGACCTTGGTTATCAGCCTTAAATTTCAAGTGGTTTTGGGGATACACAAGTAGAATTCACCAAGACGATTCATGGTGAGACGAAGTTCGTAATTTATTTCGGGTATTTTTTCGCTTGTTTCAATACCCCCGAGAAACGAAAAATGACCACGATTTCTTCCCCAGTCCCTTGACGAAATGGTGATGCATTGCGATTTATCTTTTTTAGATCTGAATTTCAATTTAAAGTTTTTTCTTTTTAAAGCAACATTAGACTTATAATTTTTTAAAAGGTCCATCATTGCTGCATCCCTAACCCACTTTAGACTAATGTCTTTAATTTTTTCAGCTTTATTATTGATATAATTTTCACGTAAATGCTTTTTATTTTTGTTTTTTATATCACTATTTATTGCAGCTAGGCATTGGTTGTACGTCCAGCGCGCAGTACCAATACATTTTAATAGTTTGTTTTTTTCCTCCGAATTAGGGTAAAGTCTAATTTTATGAGTTTTCCCTGGTGGAGGTTTTTTGGAGGAGGAGGCTGAAGATGAAGGAATAGCATCAGCATAAGAAAGGTGGCGAAGCTAAATTTTCTTTGGAAGAAATCGCGTCTTTGAAATTATTCCATATTCCATTTGGTAAAAGTGGATGATTATTTAAATCTACAGGTGTTGGTTTAATCGAGTTAACTGTAACCCATGAACCAAGGGCTAGTCTTTTTAAAGAGTCACCCCATTGACTTGAGCACAATACTTCACTATTAGTCTTTAGGGGTAACCAACACCAATTTGTGAATTTTTGAGTGAATTCATCCCAGAATGGCTTACATTTTTTTACATTTGAAGAAGTTGCTTGTGATGGTGAGTCAGAAGTTTGCATAGAAGTTTTAATAAAAATTTATATTTTTTAAAAATTGAATATAATTGTGAAAGAGTAAACACTATTTTTAAAAAAGTTTTTTGACTTTGAAAAAGATAAATTTTTTTAATATTTATAAAAATATTTTCTGATTGTATTAATCATGAAAACAATCAAAAAATTATTTTCCGACTGTATGTTTGTGAAATTAATCATGAAATCAATCAATTATTTTTTAAAAATATTTTCTGACTGTAATTAATCATGAAAACAATCAAAAAATTATTTTCCGACTGTATGTTTGTGAAATTAACCATGATCAATGATAACAATATTTATACAACGCAACCATTTTCGTAAAACATTAAAAATCCTTTTTTATCACACTTTCGAAAAAGGCATAAAACAATTTCCCAAATTGTTACATTTTCCAAATTGTTTTTTTAGTGGCGATGCTAATACTAAATCAACAATGGATTAATTTCTTGCTGGTATTTTTAGTAGCAAAAAATGATCGTTTTCAAAAAAAGCTTAATTAATTTTCTTTAACAACACATTTTTGGAAAAGGCTCGATTTTAATCAAGTGATTTCTTTTTCGTATTTTTTTTTTTACTTATTATAACAAGCTTATAACTGAGAACGCAATGTGAGCTTTTGCTTTTCGTGTTAAAAAACACACATACCGTGCTACGCGAGAATAAAATTTCAATTAAGTTGTCTTCGTCGCAAAGAGCAAAAAAATGATATCACTCGGGCCAAGACAATAATCTATTTTATTAAATTCGAAACATATAAATAGGACAGCCGTCCAAACTTTTTTTTTTGTTATTTTTTCGTAGAGAAATTACTCTCGGGCAATTTCAGCGCACGGAACTCAACATTCTACATTCGGCCACATGAAATAATTGTTCGTTATTATTATACAACGTTATTACTACGTATTACAGGAGAGACCGCAAAATTTTAACCCACGCAATAGTTGATTGATTGACCAATTAAAATCGTGATTTAAAATAAAATATTTAATGTGGGTTTGATTCATTTTGTCAGCAATCACTTCACGAACAATTGTTTCATTAACAAATGGTTCGAATTTAAGAAGTTAGAGGCAACCATTTGAAATAGTCTAATAAATTAAATCGTACTACTCGAAAATGTATTTAAAGGGTTGGTTTTCGACTTGGTTGAAGAATAACTCTCTTCCTAACTCTTCTCTTGACCATATCTCTCGATATAATCAAAATAGCCTTAATATAACGAATGTCAAAATGATTGTAAACGCAACCAATTTAAGAGGAAACATGAACGATGAATGAAAAAAACAAACAAATTTATTTAATAAAACAAAATTTACAACTCAAAATTTCTTTTTTTGCATGTAATAAAATTCCATTATTGACTATTAACAATCTAATTATATAGATCTTGACCGATCAAACCCGCCTATATAGTTATTGAATAATTGATAATAGTAAAACGTTAATTAAATATATTTTACAAACAGCTTCGTAGATCTCGACTTTAAGACTTACTTTGATCAAACCCACCTATAATAATAAACATTCATTTTGGAAACTTGATTTGCAAATAGATCTTGACTTTAACACACTTACTTATACCAAGTCCGCCTATATAATTATTTGAATAATTGATAAAGTGAAATTACCCGAGGGTTGAAAAGACCAACAACAACGATGATAAGAAATCCCCACGCAAAGCATTAAAATCCAAACATCCGGATTTTGAGGAACAATCCATGAGTTCCAACAGCAGGAGAAAGGCCACAAATCACATCAGGGAGTCGGGTAAAAAAAGAAGAAGTGCAGCCCATGACCCAAAGGAAGAATCAAGCACATCAAGGGCAACGAAACTGACACATACAATGAACGAAGTTGTCAGCAACAATAAAGGTTATACGGATGCACTAGAAAATTCGTACAACATTGAAAATGATGACGGTGATGAGAGTTGTGACACTGAATAATTTTTATTATTCTTTGTATTTTTTTCATTCCTATTTGTATTTTTTTTTCTGAAAAATAAAAAAAAAAAACAAAGAT